GGAGGAAGGGAAGCCTGCAAACATTTGGTTGGTTTGTTTGTTTGTTCTTTTTCCCCCAAATCAGCTCCTAAATTTGTAACCAGAGCTGACAAAAGCAAAAGGACACGTCTGCAGCTAAGCCGCAGCGGTGTCCTGAGCCGACCCCTGTGCACCGCGGGCAGCTGGGGCTGGGGGAACTGGTTCCCAGTTCTTGCTGAACCTGGGGAGAGAAGGCCCTTCCCTTTGGAATTGGGATGTCCTTCCCTTTGAAAGTGGGGTGCCCTTCCCTTTGAAAGTGGGGTGCCCATCCTTGTTTAGCGTCCTACAGAGAAAGGGCTGAGCCGGGAGCTGGGGCTGCAGGGCCCGCAGACCCTGCTGGGGGTCCCCCCCACCATGGCTGCCACTGCCCCGGTGGGGTCTGGCCATCCCCTCCTCCCCTCCAGCCACCCCCAGGCTGCGGGGGGCCCCTGGGCAACCCCAGGCGCCTGCCTGCCCCGCCGGGGGCTGCCGGGCGCAGCCGATGAGCCAAGGCTTGCTGCTGGGCTCCTCCGAAGCTCGTTAGAGATTCCCCAGGGGCTTCTCAAAATCACCACGAGCCCAAACCACTGAGCTGCTTTTGGAAGGATTATCCCGGCCCTAAAGAGGCACCGGGGCTCAGGTTGCTATCAGCTTAAAGCCAAACGGCAGTGGAATATAAAGTAGCCGCCAATCCCTTGATTAAAAGTATCTGAAAATGTCTTTAATTAAGAGACATGAACAATAAGGCAGCCTCTGACCTTGCTGAAATCCACTCCATAAGCGGCAGCACAGGTAAAACACCACCACTTATCTTTGCAAGCCACCTGAATGAACCCTTTTTAATTAAAGCAACATTCATTAACGCTTGCTGTTTCCCTGCAAATGCCGTTTGGTGATGGGGCATCCCAGGGCTTTGCACGGAGCCTAGGACAGAGCTGCGAGGGGTCCGTCCCCCCGTCCCCCGGCGCGGGCGATGCCCTTACCGGTGTTGTGAGCCTCCAGCTGGGACAGGGAGTTGACGGTCACTTTGCAGGTGGGACAGTACAGGTGCTGTTTGCTCTTCTTCCCCTCCTTCTCGCTCTCGGGGGCCGAACTGACGCTGCTGCCCGACTCGGCT